GGTGAAATACCCAATCTAATATGTACCTACAACTTAAAAGAAACAAATACAATATTGTAGGTTGTACTACGTAGTGAGGTGTTTGACATTATTGACCACCGAGCAGGAGTTGTATTTTTATATAGATATGTATAGGTACATAAAGTTTCACAACAAGTGATAGTTTATTTGAAAATCTGATGATAATTAACATAACATGAACGGCAAACGGTCTACGCAAATGTATTAATCATTGTGCATAGGAACAGATAAGTATCCTATAACTATCGACTGGTAAAAGGCGAAATCCGCTAGTGATTGTTTTACTTCTTTTTAGGAGAGGAAATACAATGTCTGTACTATATGTTCTTAATTTGGGACTTCTGTTTTTATAAAAGCTCTAAGAATGAGGTTGGTATATATTTATTATTTATATTCCATATTATTATGTTACTTGAATAGCCTGAGCAATTGAATAGTATTATTTAAAAACTGTCTTTGTTTTAATATATTATCATATCACATAAGTACTATGCTATTAAATTGTTTTAAAAATATCAAATAGGACATTGTATTGAGAATATTAAAATTAGATGTACCTATGTAGTACCTAACACATTTTTGTATGCACATTATTTCTTTATTTCGTAAATTGGTTCGGCAAATATACGTACAAAAAAACTAAAAGAAAAGAAATAAAATATTTTTGAATTGTATCATCAGTGTTAAAATTTGTCTCCCCCCCTATAAAAAATTGGTTGTCAGTATTTGCCTTCATTTCGGTGTTTTTGTTAGCAAATTTCGCTTTTCCCGAAAATTAGAAATTTATATCTCATTACTAAATGGTCAGAGAAACAGTATAGCGCTTTTACTATAAGAATTTTTGAACTGTTAACTGAACAATCTATGCTTGGATCACATTGCCTTTTATTAGTCAAATTATGGTGTTGAAACGAGACGATGCTGCAGATATTGGACCCATATTAAAATAAACTGTTGCAGTGCAGAGATATGATCAGTTATTAATTATTAAATATTTCAAAACGAAATTTGTTATTGAAAGCTCGTTAACGCAATACGAAAATCATGTTAACCCGAGTACAATTTGTTATCTCCACGTTGTTAAATTATTTTAAACATGAGACAATATTGGGTTAGCTAACGAAATTAACAAACAATGTAATTACAATAAATTTAGTTTAACAATATTGTTATTATTATTAAATGATCAACCTACGAATCACGTTGCGACCATAAAATTTCGATAAACGAAATAGTTATAACTTTCACGTTCATAAATATATCTCATACCCCCCTCCGTTGTAATATCCGTAGATACTGCAGCTCACATACTGATTGAGAAGCACTGCTTTGGGAATACGACACTTTGCTATGAACACCTTGCTTGACTAAATCTCTATTTTTTATAGTATTATTATTTAAATTTACACAATGTATTACAAGTAAAAAATGAAAAAACATTATGTTAAAATATTATTTAATCTTAAGGCGAATTCAGACTAAATTTCTTAAAGTATTAAATAATATATTAACCCAAGACTCAAATTTACTTAATTTCCCATTTGTTATAACTGGTAATAGTAACAATAGTAATAACAATAAGGTTAGGTTTCAATTCAATGACTGAGGTTAGCCTCTATTAATAAATTGGCTTTAATAAGACTGCATAGGCGGCAAAGGTGTAAAAATCATTTGCGCCAAAATCAGTAGCACGTAAGCTAAAATATAAAATTATACTCAATATACTATGATGAAATAGCACCAAAGATATAAAAAATAAAATATTTAATTTGCATCAATATTAATATTTTATATATTATTTACAACGTTTTTAAAATCGCCAATAATAAATATCAAGTAAAATGTTAATAGTGATTATAAAATAATAATTTAAATACAAAAAATACGAACACAAAATATGACACAGAGCGTCATATCGTTGTAAACGCTTACCAGTCACCGCTAATAACACGAATAATAAGATTATAATCGGATTTATTTATCGGTATTCTAGCAGAACATTTTTTTTCGGTACCTACATCACAAAGACACGTTATTATCACTAGGCATTTCTCATAAATATCTATATTTTTGTTTATTAAATAAAATGTCTTTATTTGTAATTCTTTTGGTAAAGTTAATTTTCGGTATAGCCTAAGCGATTGCTTAAGTACTAACAATAGGCCATAGGTTGGTATAATATTATGTTAAAATACAAAAGCTCTGATGCTCTATCCACTATAATTAATTTGGTGATTAAGATAACATTATGTTTGGCGTTTTCAAACGATATAACTCAAAATTTAATATGTGAACAAGCACATTCGCTGGGATGCACTGGGATGGCACTTTTTTACGATTCGGTTTACTTTTTGCTTATCTCGTTTTGGCACTTATTTTGTCTTCCAATGTACATTCATTATAATCTAGGGCACATAAAGTCCAAAAAACACAAAATATGCATTAAAATTTTTTTCATAACAGCTATTAATAAATAAAGTTTGAAAAAAAAAAATTAATAAATATCTTGAACTAGAATGAAGTTAAGTTAGACATGGACAATACCTAACTCGGTAGGAGTGGGCACTGAGATGCTTCAGTACTAAAGTTGAGGCATTCAAATAGATAACCAAATTATAGAAGTACCAATTGACGTTTATAAACGTTAATTAGATAAAAGAAAATATTCAAAAATAGTCTCGAAAAGCAAAAAAATAATGCAGAAGCATACCGTCACATAAATTAAATCACAAATTTTATTTTGTCGTGAGTATTGTAACGCATGAAACAAATTTGCTTCTTGCTGTTATTTTTTATAATCAAGCAAAACGAATACTCGAATACCAAAAAAAGCTATCAATACTGTAATCAATTTGCACCAAAATTTACCAAAAATATACACAACATAATGAGTAATTTGCACTATCCCGGGTAATGGAAAATATATGAATTGTAACTTCTATCAAAATTTCGAATTGATTTTTCTTTCGATGGTACTTACACGTTTCGATAATAGAAAAGCTAATAAAGTAATAACACAGAATATTCCATTTTAATTTCTGAGCGTTTATTTAACTAACCTAATCACACGGTTCTACTGTATGTGTTCTTGATATTGACATTAAAGCTATAAATAATAATAATAATTATGTATGAAAAATAAATATAATATTATAATAATTAAAGGTATGATTAGGTTATTTTTGTCAAAAAAAGAAAATAGTTACTCATTTTTGTGCGAAATACAAACACAATTTTCGGTTACCCGCAATGGTGCAAATAACAAACTCTTCAACATAACACACATATGTCATACAGTAGTATACAGACATACGGTCATTGCAAGGGTCAAACTCGTACTTCAACTGTTAAGATTTACTCAGCTGACTTCGAAATTAACGATTGTTTATATTATATTATGGTAAAAAATCTACGATCGATACCTAAATTCAAATGATTACGGTGAATAATCAATTTGCTGCAATGTCAAAAAATAAAACCGAAACGACTAGTCAACCTACAGGTGGTGTTTAGAATTATACGTGTATATTTGGATATACATATGGATATGACATGTATATTATAGTAATAACTTATCAGGAACTCGTATAATACTATAATATTCGACGTGTCCATACATGGACCATACATATTATATACTTATTATTATACATAATAATATTCTGAGGACTAGACTAAAAATGTAATCGTAATCTCGGTTCGTGATTGTCGGGCAATTATGTGTAATATGGGTGGTTCAAAAAATGTGATTATTATTCAAAATAATCGCTATCAGAATACTATTATTACACATTTACACTAATATACATAATTAAATTTTGTTGGCCCACAACAATCTAAGCGTAGGTGTCAACTATATGAACTAAATTTAAAAATTGAAATTTTAGTACATCATTATCTATGCATCTACAATTATTATTATCAACAACAATACGAGGAAAATATTATAAGACTAATGCATACAACATAATAATATGTAAATAACTAAATATCTAAAGACAACCGTGGTCCGATAAAATAATATGGTGATTGAACAAACATACATAGTGTGCAATTATTTTATAATATTTACGACCAGATAATATTATATTAAAACAGGTTTCGAGTTGTAACTACGCACTCATTAGGTCAAAACGTGATCGATTTGATACAGTATTTAATTAGGTATGTGAGTATAAAAAACTAAGTCTAAAAAATAAACACCTTGACCACTAATTCAAGTAAGTAATGACGATATTCTTCGATTTTTGAAAACGGCGAGGAAGGCATAGTTTTCAATTATAATCGTATATTAACTGTATTATTAGTTGATATAAATATCTTTTAAAATTATATTTACTAAATAATATAACAAGTAAACTTAGACTGCTCAAAACTTCGCTCTAGTTCAACCAATAACACCAATACGAAGAAATCGGATATAATTGTTTTAAGTCTCGTTATTTTCCTAATTTTCAAAATTGTTGAATAATTGAATTCAATTTATGAACAATTACAAATTTTGTTTTTTTAAATTTTGCTGTTTGCGTTTTACATATTTATTTATTTTTATTTTTTATATTTTATTTGTATCATCGTTTCATTCATTCATTCCAATAGTATTAAATCGATGAGGTATATTTGATAACTTAAAATAATATTCAAGAAATATGATGTACAAATGTCTTCGTATAATTTTTGGCCAGTGGAGGGAAGCCGCAAGTTCTACAGCAATGATTTCGATTATTTTCACTGAGTTTCAAAGTAGTTATAATTACCCTCTCAAATGTCGAGTCGTCGTACTCTCCCGTTTTTGGCCAAGGGAGGGTAGAAAACATATTTGTATGTACTTCAATGAGCCTGGCTATGCATTTTAATTTTAACGCACTAATTATTTTTTAGTAATTATTTTCCCACGATTGAAAAAATAATTACCTATTAAAATTATTCGGCTAATAATAATATCATAACAATTGATAAAATTTTGGACTAGGTCTTACCTCCATGTTTCCACTGTTGGATTTTGCAGTACAAGAAGCACAGGCAGACGCAAGCGGCGCACGACAGAGCCAACGTGGACAGGATGGCGTTGATCCAGACGTCATTGATGACGATCTCATCGTACATTAGTCGGCCGTGCACGTTGACTGCTCCACGGTGCGTGCCATTGCGCTGGGCGCTGCGGGCCACCGTGGCCACAACGGTAGTCGACGTGGCCACGGCGATCGTGTGCGCGGCGGCCGTCGTGGTGGATGATGCCAGTAGAGAGGCGTCCATCATATATTATTATAATAAAACAATGCGTGGTAACGACAACCTTGTAGGTGGGGTGTGAACGTCCCAGACCTAAAACAGGATAATAACACAATCATAAAATATCATTTAACTGTCGACTTAGAGTAAGAGGTCTGAAATATTCCATAGGTGAAATATTGGTTTTTATTAATTATTCCACTATTGCCATACAAATATAAGATTCTCGCCAATTCAGGAGATAACTATAGATAACAGTATTATCATTTTCAACGTGCAATCACAACGCAATTGCGTTTAAAGCACAAACAAATAGCATATTTGTAGTTTGAACATGTTTGAGAAAGAGTTTTCGGCGTCTGGGCACATTCAGAGTATACAAGGGGGGGGGGTCAGATCTTCCCATAGGCCTCTGTAATTATAGGTAGGTTATACAATAACTAAAAAATATAAAACATAATTTTAGGATGATAGGTAGGAATGTAAATGATATGTTTTTGCAAACATGAATTCAATACACCTATTATTATTATTAATAGCAATAATATAAAATATTTTAGACGATAGCAGTCTCCGATCAGTATCGTTGTTCGTGTGCAATATGATATATTATCATAAAATTCAATTACAGCGAACCACTCGACACCAGCTATTGTATAGGTTTATGATACCAATTTGGATCTAGTTGGTACTTCTGAGATGTCAAAATTTAAAATTCTAAGTTTTTTTCAAAATAATAGGGAAAAATGAAGAAAAATAAGGAAAAACTTACACAACTTTAAGTAGAGAAGATAATTCATATTTCAAAAAACAAATCTAAAAAATATATAGGAACATATTTTTTCATAGATATTGCAAGTTCAAGTATAGACAAAATTGCGTAATCAAGGAAAGAATAACGATTTTAGTTAATTTGTATTGTGATTTAAAATTATTATTCATGGCAACTTTTGAAGTATATTATTATATTATTATATTTTATATACAGTATATACTATGACATTTTCAAATGCAATATTTTAAGCAAAAATTAATTCAACCTAGATTCTGTATTACTAATATTAATATTAATTTATTTTATTGCAATAATATCAAAAAAATATGTACTAGTAGTTAATATATTATCCCGATATACCGTCTTCGCTAAAAACTGTTTTCCGCATTCAATGATATTATATCATTGAATTCGAATTTAACACATCCATTACGGTAACCCGCTTGTCCCTCACTGTACAGCAGAGCGGTCCTTATACACCGTTTTTTTATATTGTAATGTTTTAATAAGTTCTAAAGTTTAAGTTTAACATGTTGTCAATTAATTGTAATATCAAAGATAATAACACAACATTTATTCTGCTAAACACACATTTTCCATGTTATACATTTATTTGTTTGTAAGACGGAGACAACAAATGCGGGTGTGGCGTCCTTTTACGTAAAATAATATATTTTAAACCTACAATTACACACCGATTTTATTATAAAATAGCTTATGTCTTGACTAATATGAAATATTTAATTAGCTATGCATATATACTAAACTAATTTTAATTAAAAATTCGTAAGCACGGAGAAAAATTGTGTTAATTTATTTGTAAACATTTCATATAAATGTGTTCTAGTAATAAAATGTAATGGAAAAAAATGGAAAAAATGATTTATATTGAAATTTTAACAACAACAATATATTTTACACAATTTGCTTACTATAGTTATTTGGCGTACCTGTAATAAATATTACGATATGAGAAATATTTTGCAAAATCATTTATTATAAGATGTGTAGAGGTCGGTATTTTTGTTTTATATTTGCGTTGTATGTAGCTTAAATGTATTCTTATTCTTTGCAAAAATACAAGGCCAATTATTTTTTATCAAAGTAAAATATTATCATTTACCGACCACTGCTATAATAGTATTATATTAAGCTCCAAAAATACTAAGGGAAAATATTCGGATACAAAACATCGTGTTTTTGTATAACAGTAGGTGTCAGTAATTGGATTTATCATCGTTGGTCGTGAAAACCGATCACTCCGACTTACCGAAAGGTATAGAACCCTACAAAGAACTAAATTTAGAAAAAAAAATATCATTACTTTGTAGGCGTCCAAAAGGTAATATGGCGATGTTGTTTACGCGCATTGTCATACATGTTTTTTTTTATAGATTAAGTTCTGTTTTGTGGGTAAATACAATGCAGTTCACATCTACCCATCACAATGTGGTATCACAAATATTTTATCCTTAAAGGCAAATATTTAAGCTATCCTGATCCATCCACACATACAATTCAATTAACTTGCAGTATCGATTAACATTAATGTTACAGGTTATTATTACTGAACCCAGAACTTGCAATAATAAAATATAACCTACAAATACAATTAAATATTATCTTCCCAGTTCCCCTGATCCTCAGCACGTTTTATTACCCATGTGCTAACTCCTATTAAGTAAGACAATAAAATATACCCATCGGGTAATGATAATTTATCAAACTGAAATAAAATCAGCATAATATTAATAATTAATGATAGTAAATACTAAAAGTTGTTAAATATACAAATATGTTTACACAATAACAAATTACTCAGTTAAAATTGTGGAAATTGTCCAAAAGATATGTTCCGGGCGCTACTGGCGTACGTACCTAAATAACCGATCGAGTAGAATATCAGGGAACTATCTGTCAAATTTAGTGACTCTCGCAAAGCAAGCAGTCCACAAGTCACTACAGGCTGCATGACCAGTGACCACTCTTATAAACGCTAACTCCAATATTATGGTCGTAAACGTCGGTTGTTCCCATGAAGTTTTAAATCTACCTTACTTGTTATTGAAAAAAAAATGTAAACAATTTCTTGTATAATATTGTTATCCGTAAAATAAATGTTAAAATCTAATGATCTAACTATGTAGATACAATTAAAATTGTAAATTACATTTCTAAGTTTAGTCGATATAAGTCATGAAACTTTTAGTAATAATAAAAAATAAATGTTGGTAGAATATCCTCAAAAGTCAGATAATAAATTATATTGTAGTAAACCGTTGAATTTATAAATACATAATGATTTTAATATAATTCATGTAATGCAAGTACATGAATAATTTAAAATTTGGAAAAATTCCGCCCCTCCCCCCACACACACACACACAAACAACTTATTAAGGCACAGGGACGCCAACCACCGTTTACAATTAAATTTCGTATATTCCGTATTTATTCGAATAGATTAGTTCAACATTCGTATCTCAGTGATTTAATAATAATTACGAATCGGTATTTTTTAATCTCTCGTTTTTTCCCACATCGTTTATTATTTATACTTCAACAACAATATAACTGCCTGCGGCATCTACGACGACAACAATAATTAATATTGCAGCAGTGCGTGTGATCGTGTCACAACTCACAACCGTTTCATTATACACAGCTTTATACACATCTATATTATTATTATTATTACTATTATATTATATTGTATGGAATATAAGCACTCGTATTATGCCCTAAGTCTATAACGCATCACCGCGTGAGCATTATACAATACAGATACAGTTACTAATCGCTGTTAAGTGTTTAATATACGACGTACCGACTTAAATATATTTTAATAATATTTCAATATTATTTCGTATGCTTGCGTATGCGGTCTGCATCTGGCAAGTCTGAGCACAGTAACCTCGGCTGTTTTTCTCTTTAATAAATTTATTTTTCAGCTAAAAACTTCTAGAAAAAATTTAATACCAAAACAATTAACTACAAAAATCCACTAGTATCTATCCAACTTATCCACAGGATCATTCCAGTTAACTCTTCAAGTCGATTAAAAATACCAGCTGCAGGTATCTAGATTTCTTGAATCCCGACCTGTAGTAATAATAACTAAAAACTTCTCTCCCCTCTCCCTCAAATCAAAGAATTTCCAACACTGGTGGGCCTCTCTCCCCGCGAAACTTCATGTTGTTGAATCATAGTTTAGTTTACTAAATGTTCTTATTGTATGTAAATATTACAGATTGTAAATAGGCATATCTACTTTTGTTTAAAAAAAATTAAGTATTTCAAATGCTGATTTTAGAAATTTTCATATCTACTTAAAAGTACAACAGTTTTAAAACTTCTAATTTCTAATAATATTGAGGAGTATTGCCCTGTAGTGATTCAAACTTTTTGTTATCAAACGTAAACCAACCTTAGAACCTATTGTACTCAATTGATTTTTTTCAAAAGGTTAACATACTTATCCGGGAGACATGGTATTTTGTGCCAATTTTAAGTAGGTACTTGTAATCATCTGAGTCAAAATATAAAAAGCAACATGTAATTTACTCCACACTTAAATATTAATTTTGGTAATCTGCATTAGAAAGAAAATGAAAAAAAAATGACGTGCATCTAATTGGCACAACACTTTCAATTTCTATTATTAGAATTTTCCCTGATAAATTTACCAGGCTCAAATTTCAAGTATATCACACAAAACGTGAGCAAATAACATAGACTATTGGATTTATTGGAATCATAATATTCCTGATTTTTACATATTTTATTAAAACCTGAATTTAATACTCATTTATAGGTACACAAAGTAGATATAGGTACAATTACAATAATATAATAACCTTAATTTTTCTATATGTACATTTTAATTTTTGAAATATAACTATGTATTAAAATTAACTCGATTGATGTATAAAATACATAAAATTAATAACATAGTTATCACGCGTGTTTTAAAATTCCGAAAATCAGGATTTGAATAAATTCATTATGAAACGAAAACAAAGGGGTGAGCATATTCGGCGAATCATCCTGTATAATGCTTCAACGGAATGTGTACATTCAATGATAGTATTTAGTACGGACACAGTGATCCGATGATCCTTAACACACACCCTCTGTAGGATGATACACACTATTCAATAACATAATAATATATCAATTGATAGTTATATTGTAATTGTTTAGGTCACGGCGCGTACGTCGGTATTTTACGCTGTTATATTGTTATCAACACACATATTTTAGAGTATACAGGGTGATCCATTAAACCTAATATACAATCATTATTTAAGTAACTATT